ATTCTTGGGGCTGTAGTTGTGGCTCAGTGGTAGAGCGCTTGCCTAGCATGTGCGAGGAGGCACTGGGTTCGATCCTCGGCACCACATAAAAATGAATAAATAAAAATAAAGGTATAAAAAATGTTGTATCTGTTAAAAATTTTTTAAATAGATTCTTAAATACTGGCACTTATAATACCAACAACAATTTAAAACATTGGATCAGCATTTAAAAAGTGAATAATCTCTATAAAGAAAATTATAAAACTGTATTAAAAGACACTGAAAACCTAAATAAATAAAAATACTATATTCTCAAAATCCTCAGGGTTTTAATTCTCCCTAGAACTTACTCAATGAATTTCAATTAAGTCCCAAAGGGTTTTTCATGTCTCATGTAACAAACTGATCCTTAAAGAATCCAAATGTCCAAAAACAGCTGAGACTCAAGTCCTCCCCAGATATCAAAATTTCTGGTAAAATTGATAGCATTATTGATTAAGACAGTATGAGTATCAACACAGAAAAAGATTGCAAATGATACAGAACAGGTGACAAGTGATGCAGAAAGGCAAACCAGAAACAGACCCATCATGCACATAGAAGCCAAACATAAAAGAAATAGTACAGCAGATCACTAGTGACTGAGGGGCTGGAACCACGTGAAGGGATAAAATGAATGTGAATCACTAACATGATTCCAAAAAAGGAAAAATCAATTTCAGATGGATTATGAATTTAAATGTGAAAAGTGTCATTTTAAAACTTCTAGAAAGAAACACAGGAGAATGTCTTTATAAACCCAGAACAAGGAAGGTTTTCAGTTACTGAACATTAAAATTAAGAAAGAGTGAATGAAATATACCATGAAGAGTAAAAAGACTGGCCAAAAACTGGAAGAAGATATTTACAATGTATATAATCAATAAAAGATCTGTTACCAGTTTTATAAGACAACTCAATAGGAAAAAAAATGGATAAAAAGACATAACCAGGTATTTCATAAAAGGAAAATATAAATGGTTCATAAATATATGAAGAGATGTTCAAACTCAACAATCAAACAAATGCAAATTAAAACCACAACGATGTATCATATCATACCCATTCCAGTGGCAAATATTAGGATATCTAACATAAGTATTGGAGAGGATACACATCAACTTACACACTGCTGATGAAAATATCTAAGTTGAAAAATCTTTTGGCCAAAATATAAACTGGTACAACCACTTCAAACCCTGGAATCATTTGTAAAGTTGAATATTCACACACCCTTTGACCCAGCAATTCCACTTCTAGCAAACAGCTTACGTTTGCTATTTTTCTTTTCCCTCTCATAAACCACCAAAAATGCTTTTGAAAAATCATTCACATTTTACAGCAACATCTAAAAAATTTTGGCATCAAGCTTAAATAATTGCAAATGATTAATTTATAGAGTATTATAGTAGCATTTTAAACTAAAATGAATGTTTCTTTTAAATGCATAATTATTAATGACCACACAGTAAATCAAAATAGCTATATATACTGATAATTAAATAGAAAAGTGAAATTTTATTGGACATGCATCTCTTGAAATAATGGAGAGGTGTTGCCTGAATTAAAGATGGCTTTCCCCAATGCTATACACTGTATTTTAAATTACCTCTTTGTTTTCCAGAGTTTTCCTACTTGGGGCTATTCCCTAGTTCTTCCTTGTAGGTATGTGGTTTGTTTTATGTAAAACACTACTGTGATGAAAGGGAAGGTGTGAAAGTTGAACCAGCAGGACTCTATTATTGGCCTCAGGCATTAACAGTTTCAAGAAAGATCACATACAGAATTTAATGATCTAGAAATTCATTAACATCTCCTGTTCCCATATACTACTTGGAAAATCATATACCCCAGGATAAAAATTAAAAGAAATTCTTTCAACTCTGTATATACAAGACTCTTCAAAGTAACAAAACCTCAACAACCAGAACACCCACCAATAGGAGAATGCATAAGCTGTGTTATATTCACCTGTGGAATATTACACAGCAGTAAAAATTAAGGACTTACATCCATTCTCAATATCAGTGACCCTTAGAAATGTAACATTGGATGAAATAAACATGTTCCCAAAGACTACACCCAGTAATTCCTTTCTTTTTTTTTTCTCCAAACACAGAAAACATACAATACATTGTTGAGGGATATTTACAAATCTGATAAAAAGTATTTTTTAAATGCAAAGAATAACACACAATTCAAGATAATCACCTTTTGGGTGAACACATTCAATATTGGTTATTTTGATTCTTGGATTAACTGGTCGATTCACAGGTGTTCATTTTATTGTTTTGCTTCACAGCTTGCATATGTTACACATTTTCAATATATCAAATATTACATTAAAATAAAGAGAAAAGATTTTTTTAAACATTCATCTTATAAAAAAAATGCTTTAATTAATTCCCCTCACCTGCCACTTGAGAGATACATATAACATATCATGGAAATCCTATCTTTACATCAACCATCGCAATATTAGGTACATAATAAATGTTCATTGAAATTAATTTTGAGGATCAAATGCATTAAAGATTGAGCTAATTAACTTGAGACAGGAACTCATAGGTTGACACAGGGCTAAGGCAAAAGCCTAGATGACTGCAAGCAAATGCAACAGCAAGCTAGTCATAAGAAAGCTGGTCAGTAAAGAGAAGACAAAAAAATGTAGTATAATGACATAGTGTTAGCAAGGATATGAGGAAATGGGTGTTTTCACTCAATACCAACAGTGAAAATTGGTAAAACCGCTTTGAGAGCTTCTGTAATATCTGTTTAAATTGAAGATGCACATACTTCTACCCAGCAAATCTACTACACAGATATACTTCCTAGAGAAACTTCCAAATGTGTGCACAGCAGACAGGTACAAAGATATTTATTGCAGGACTGTTTTTAAAGAGTCAAAAACTGGAAACAACTTCATAGTCCATCAATAGGGGAATGTATAAATTATGGTATATTCATACAATGTAATTCTATACCAGGAATTAAAATGAATTCACCAAAGATTATTCATAACTGATCATTCAATTTATTCATATAGAAATCTCTAAATGTGATACTGGGTGAAAAAAAGCAAGTTGCAAAAAGACACACGTAGTTTAATATCATTAGTTTAAAATCCAACAACACAATGTATGTTTGTAGATTCACCGTGAGCAAAGTATAAAATATGCAAAGAAATGATTTACACAAACCTAAACACAGTGGCTATCTCTAGGTAAGGAGGGGGAGGAACTGAAAGTACCTCCACAATCTTTGAATTTTATTTTTTTACAAAAAAGATTTGAAGTAAATCTGGCAAAACAATTACAACTGTAAAATCTAAATCATCGATTAGATCTCCATTTATATTCAAAATGCTCCACAAATTAAAAAGAATGGAAAATTAGTCAAGAATAGGAAATTGCGCAGAACAGAGACACACCAAACAGCAGCCCTTGAGCGCAAAGCAGGAACGAATAATAGTAGTAGTAGGTGGGTCCCTAATGGATTTGAAGTTTCTTTTCCCGTATGTCCTTATAATAAATTCCACTATCCTGATGATAAAATACAAATTTCTTTCAACAAAAGGTGTCCTAACTAGGACTGTAATCATAAGCAAACTGTGATTTTACTCCTCCCAAGGGGAGGAATTAAGATTTCTACCTCGTTTCCCTCACCGTTGGGCAGAACAGAAAGACATTTATGTGAACGCCACATCGAGAACGTCCAGGGATAGCTACTACGCATTTGCCGGCTGGCAGGGGCACATATTTTGGAAGGAGCTGGCATCTTAAGTGCTTTCGGAATCTAGGGCGCCTCTGGAAAAGGAACAACTCACTGGTACCATTCCATTCACCCATGTCTCTGATCAATTTTTCCCCCTAATAGGTCTCCTATTCTGTCCCCAGAACAGTATGGCTCCACTGGCCAAAATGACGTCGCCGACACTGCAGAGCAGGTGGCCGCCAGACCCTTGGATGCCCTCCCCCTTCGCGTTGGCTTTCTGGGGAAGGAGGAGGCTCAGCGAAGGAACCGCGGAGCGGGAGCGCTGGGGTGGCGTCCCCCTCCCTGGTCAATCCCCTGCGCACGGGGCCGGCTCTGGACTGGCTGCCCTTCTCCCCACACAGGTGTCTAGAACGCGAAGAACGCAGACATGCAAGGGCGCGCGCGAGCGCGCTCACGAACACTCGCGAACGCATCCCCGCACACGAGATCATGCACGCGACAGGCCCTATGCCGCACCCACGCGAAGACGCACACTTCCGCGGGGGATGCGCCAGGCGAGGGTCGCGACCGCAGCAGGAGCGGCCACGCGCGCTGGGGACGCGCGCCCCAGAGGGAACAGTGACAAAAGGGAGGCCACCCACCGAGGCCGTGAGCGCCCACGCCGCCTCCCAGAAAACTGGCCACCTACACAAAGGGGACCAGGAGGAGACCCACGGGCGCGTGCACGCGCGCCTAGCAGGTGTCACCCACGCACGAACCGAGACCGGGGCGCGGGGCTGCAAGGGGATGCGCACACAGTGGCCGCCCCCACGTCGCACAGGCACCCTAGGCCCAAGCTCGCGAAGGGGGCGGACAAAGGGGACACACCCACCGGGACAGACAGAAGCGGCCACACCCCCCAGCGCCGGGCACCGGCCCACGCACACACAGCAGGCACCTCTGCAAGGGATGCGGGGCGACGCGCACACACCCACACTCACCACACACCCACGGAGGGGGTGTGGAGGGCCCAGCTCCCGGGGCATCTCGACTGCGACGGGACAAGGTGACACATCCGGGAGCCCTGCCGCGCGCTGGCTGTGCACTCACCCGGGCCCGCAGCCCGCGAGCCTCGGACGCGGGCCGCCGCCGCCGCCACCTCCGGCCCTCCACGTCAGCCGGATGGCGGGCGGTAGCGGGCGACGGCGCAGGCTGCAGGCGCGTCACGTGGGCTGGCAGCGCACATGCGCAGTCTCGTTGCACCGCCCACCCCTCTGCGGCCGCCAGCCGGGCGGCCACCACGCTCGCTAGCTCCCTCCCCGCGAGGGTCGCGGTGCGCCTGCGCTCGGGCGGGGGGCGCCGTCGCCCCCGGCCTTTCCCTCGAGTTCCTCTTTTCCTCCCCCACTGCGGCTCCCCGGTCGGCGCTTGCGCAGAGAAGTGGGCGCAGAGGTGGCCGTGTGGTCGGGAGGGGCAGGTGGGCGGAGTGGGACCCCGGGCCGAGGGCCTCCGCCGCCTGTCCTCGGGAGAGGAACTGAATTAAGCCCCCTGGAAGGGTCAGGGCCCGGGGCGGTGGGGCGTCCTCGAGCGCCCCTGACCGCAGTGAGGCCGGGCTCGCAGGCCGTCGCCCACGCTGCAGGGGCGCGCGTGCCCGCGGGGGCGCGCTTCCGCGGCCGTGCGCGGGACGGCGGGTCGGCTCCGCTGTGGCCGTGCCCTGGCGGAGCGCTGAGGTGTTGACAGACCCATGGTGGAGGGGCGTGACCATTGACGACTGTGTTCCTTCTCCACAGATTGTCCAAAGCCACAGGGAAAATGGTGGAAAATTCACCGTCGCCATTGCCAGAAAGAGCGATTTATGGCTTTGTTCTTTTCTTAAGCTCCCAGTTTGGCTTCAGTAAGTACTTTCCTGAAGGATGGCCAGGGGCTTTCTCTGGTGTCCAAGGACCAGGAAATAATGCACTTGCTTAGAGTGTGCACACAGAAGCTACGTCCCTGTCCAAGAAAACCCGAAGGCAGTCGGGCTTGCGCAGTGCTCTGTAGGCCAGCTCTGCGCCGTGGCCAAAAGTAAACCGGGTCCCTAAACTCCTGGTGAGCGCCATTGTGGTGGGTCCTTGGGTGGCAGAACAGATCTGTTGAAATCAAGGGGAATTCAGAGTTGGCTTCCTCCAGGGACCATCCCCCTGGCACTTGTATTTGAGAATAAATAGGAGGGGAGGAAGATGGTGGCATGGGCCTGGAATAAAGGCATGAGAGGGTTTGGAAGTGAGTTTGGGATGGCTCCAGGGCTGCCTGCAGGAGCTGGGGAGGGAAGAGAACTTGGCTAGAGAGGTCAGATTGAAAGAAATGGCCACAACATCCTGAATCTCACTTAATCCCCTCATGTCCCATTTTATAGGTAAGGAAACTGAGGTTCTAACATGCGGAGGTTCACACAACAAGACCCAACTTTCTTCCCAGAAGGATTTGGGGATTACGAGGCAATTATGAATACCCCCAATCCAACTTTCTGGAATTTGGTGAAAACCAGGAAATGGAGGAGTGGTGATACTTCTGAACCCTAATTGAAAACAAATAACCTAATGTCGGAGCTGTTGCCTATAGAGTCTGTGGAGAAGTTATAACTGAGTTCAGTTCTGACTCCTCCACAGATTTGCTGTTTGCTCTGGGATCAGTTTCCTTATCTGTAAAAGGATATTAATAATGATGGTTATTGAATGCTTGTTATGTATAAAACAGTCCTGTGGGTAGTACTGTTATTGTTGTCCTTGTTTTAAAAATGAGAATACTGGAGTTTAAGTAATTTGCCCAAGGTCACTAGGAGATGATAGAGCTAGAATTTGAACCCAGACATATTGACAGATTTCACTCTGTTGCCTCTTATGACTGTTGTGAGTATTAACTGGGGTAATAAACTGTAACGCACATAATGCAAAGGTACAATAAGAATATAATAAATATTAGCCCTGGTATCTTTTTTGTAAATGTCTATTCAAATAGTATTTCAAGAATTGTGGATCGCAGTAGCTCACATCTGTAATCCCAGTGCTTGGGAGGCTGAGATGAGTATAGCAAGTTCAAAGCCTCAGCAAACAGCAAAGCACTAAGCAACTCAGTGAGACCCTGTCTCTAAATAAAATACAAAATAGGGGTGGGGATGTGGCTTGGTGGTTGAGTGCCCCTGAGTTCAAAAAAAAAAAAAAAAGTATTTCAAGGATTAGAAACTATATAAATAAATAAAAGAAATGCCTTTAAGGCCTAAATTCCATGATGCCCACAACCAGAAAGTAATTTTAAAAAATTGAGTGCTTACTTGTTACAGGCCAGGGAAGAGCAAAAATTTTTTGCTTTCTAGTGGGAGGAGCTAGCTGACGGACAAAGTAAATAAGTAAAACATAATACAATGCCAGATTATAACTTGTACTATGAGGAAATATTTTAGCAAGGGGGAGCCAAGTACAGTGGGAATGTCTGTAATCCCAGAGACTCCAGAGGCTGAGGCAGGAGGATTGCAAGATCTAGGCCAGCCCGATCCATTTAGCAAGACCCTGTCACAAAATTTAAAAAAGGACAGGGGAACTCTGGTTGTGGCTCAATGGTATAGCACTCACCTGGCACATGTGAGGCACTGGGTTCAATTCTCAGCACCATATAAAAATAAGCAAATGAAATAAAGGTATTGTGTCCATCTGCAACTAAAAAAATTATTTTTAAAAAAATGGACTAGGGAATGTAGCTTAGTGGTGGCACCCCTGGTGTTCAAGTCATGGTACTACAAAAAGAAAAAGAAAAGCAAAGGGAAAGATGATAAGGAATGAAAGGAGGTCCTTCTAATATGCTCCTGTGTCATCTCTTATTACTCATTCATTAGCATTCATCACAGTGTAATGAAAAGATCAATTTACTGTCCTGTTCACAAGATTTTAAGCTCTGGGAGGGTAGAAACCATCTCTTTATGGTTCATTATAACTCACTCCTGACATAGAGACTTCTATAATACATATTTCTCCAAAAAAAAAAAAAAAAAAAACTATCATCACTGATAAAGGTAGTTTGAAATTTGACTCTGCAACTTTCCTCAAACAAATGATATAATCTTTCTAAATCCCATTTCCTCATCTGTAGAAATTGCACACATACTTTGGGGTTGTCTTGAGGATTAACTGAAATAATACATATGGAATTTTGCCTACTCCACAGTGAGCACTCAGAGCTATTGCTATTACACAGAAGAACATAACGGGTGCTGCAGAGACTTAGGATTGAGGGAGAGGAAGTTGTACCCAACCAGAAGCCTAACACGTAGCAGATCAGAACTAGAGTAGATAAATACCCCTTTCAATAAGTAAGTGTCTATAATTACGTCAACCCTGTGGAGATGAAGTACTGACTATCTAGAATACATAAAGCAAAGAATTAGGTACGGTAAAAAGTACAGTAATTGCTAAGGCATGATTTATACCCTGAATTGCTTAATATACTATGAGAGTTAAGATAATAAAAAATTACTAATAAAGAGCTGGGGTTGTGGATCAGTGGTAGAGTGTTCGCCTTGCACATAGAAGACACTAGGTTTGATCTTCAGCATGATATAAAAATAAATAAAGATATTGTGTCCACCTAAAACTAAAAAATATATTTTAAAAAATTACTAATAAGGTACTTATGATAAGTAATATAAGAATGGTATAAATGAGGAGCAAGGGGGAATAATTTCTGATGAATCAGGGGTACTTCAGAGGAGCTTTTTTGTACCTGAAACTTTTTAGATTGAATACATGCCCTACTTAACTTTTTCTCTTTTTTATTTTCTTCTACAGTACTTTATCTTATGTGGGCTTTTATTCCTGAATCTTGGCTAAACTCCTTAGGCTTAACCTATTGGCCTCAAAAGTAAGTTTAATATTTGTTAAGAGTAAAACTAATGCTGTTTTAAAGGATTATGTTACTCCTTAAACTATCCAGATCTTTTCATTATTCTTTTAAAAATCCATAGATGGACATATATAAATAAAACTTTAAAGATTATGATTAATAAAACTCTAAATTAAAGATGGTAGTGTGAGCACACATTTATCCCCATTTACTTTCAAAATCTTCCTACCATGAACCCTAGGGGGAAAAAAACATATTTTAGAGGTATAAACCCATAGAAAGAAAGAATAACAGATAAGAGGTATCAACAAAATTTTGTATAAATTGAGATAGGGGAGTTTATTTTTTTCATATGGCTAGAATAGGGAAGCCATCAAGAACATTTGTGCCCTTGAATGCTACAATGGTTCAGAAATTGGAGGTATAGGTACCTCTTTAACATAGTAATTCTGGTTTGGACAGAAAAAAATATTTAAAGAGCATTCTATCCTTAGTCCTACCTTGTTTAGTCTTCATAACTGGGAGACTGTCCCTACCCTCCCTTGTAGAAAATCATTTTACCCTGTGGAAAGGCTGAAAGTTGCTAGTCTGGGGGGCCTTAGATCTGAGTGTGGGAAATGAGGCACCTACTGCAAGCCAGAATAATTGAACATCTGCATGGCTGAATGATAAGGCACACCCCCTCTCCTAGCAACTGCCAGGGGCTCCCAGGCTTATACCATCCTCTTCTTCTAGAAAAAAGTGAGAGGTACCTTCCTCAGGAAGCTGACCAGTGTGAAAGAAAAAAACCTATAATTTCTGCCATTTGGAGGACCCCAGTAAAGCAGTCAGGTCTTTTAGAGGGAGGCTGACTAGTTGGCCATCCTTGCCCACTGTGCTTCAGTTAGTTTGTTAGCACTTGGACTGGTATAAGTTATTAGATATTGAAAGAAAGCTTCTAACCGGAGTACAAAAACAAAAGAAAAAAGGGAAATTGAGGTAATGCTGGATACAGAAGAAAACTTTTAAATTAAAAAAATCCTCAAAGATAAGAAAAGATTACAATTATGAAATCAACAGTATGCTCTATAAAGGGAATGTTTAAGAAGTTATCATACTTGGCAATTATGATAGCCAAAATTAAATTTTTAATTGAAAAGGTTGGAAGATAAAAGTTAATCTCTAGAAGGTAGAATAAAAAGTCAGAGAAATGGCAAATATTCAGGGCAAAAAATTTAACCACTAGAAGTTCCAGAAAGGAAAAAAAAATGAAGGAAATTATTAAAGCAATAATGCCTCAGTAAAATATGCCAAGATAGGACATGCAATGTGCTTACCTGTGTAGAGAGGTAAATTTAAAGGCATATTAGAATTTGGGGCTGGAATATTGATAGGTAGATGGAAAACCAAGTATACATTCAAAATGATGTAATTACTAATTTAAAAAATAATAATACATAAGAAAATATGTGATAGTGATATTCTAAGGTTCTCGGTTACAAACATTATTTATGTAATCACAATAGTTCTTAATAACTAGTGATAACCAGAAATTGTGACATAGGTATAGAAGAGAATAGGAAGAGTTAGGTTCCTCATCTCCAAATTAGGAAGTCTAGAGAAAATGTCTGAAAAAAAATCAAGAAATTAATATGAACATGTTATGTAGAAATGAAGAAGTACCAGAAGAAATAGCTCAGGTGTTAAAAGGTGTCCTTTTTGGGGATTGGGATTTCAGGGTCAGGATGGATGGAACAGGAGACTGCAGCTTTCTATTATAACCCTTATAGAGTTATTTGACTGTCATGTACATTTATTACTATAAATTATATTTAATTAAAATGAAATATAGGGCTGGGGATATAGCTCAGTTGGCAGAGTGCTTGCCTGGTGTGTCCTAGGTTCAATCCCCAGCACCAAAAAAAAGGGGGTAGGGGTGGGTTGTGGCTCAGTGGTAGAGGGCTTGCCTAGCATGTGTGAGGCACTGGGTTTGATAATTGGCACCATATAAAAATAAATAAATGAAGGTATTGTGACCATCTACAAGTAAAAAAATATTTTTAAAAATTGAATATAAAAATTGGCATGTTTTGTCATGACTCTTGAGAATTATAACTTTTAAGATATCTATCATGTACATTAATATTCTCTTCCACAGATATTGGGCAGTCGCACTACCTGTATACCTCCTTATTACTATAGGAATTGGTTATGTACTCTTATTTGGAATTAACATGATGAGTACTTCTCCACTCAACTCCATTCATACAATCACAGGTAAATTTATATAAAAGAAAAGTGCTAGGGGAATGGAGGAGTGGGGTTTTAGAATTTTAATCAGAAAAGCAATTAAGAATATGCTTCAAGACACATTGGATCAATAAAAATAATCTAGGAGCCCAGTGTGGTGGTACACACCTGTAATCCCAGCAGCTCAGGAGGCTGAGGCAAGAGGATCAAAGCCAGCTTCAGCAATTTAGTGAGGCCCTAAGCAACTTAGCAAGATCCTGTCTCTATAAAAAGGGGCTGGGAATGTAGCTCAGTAGTTAAGTGCCCCTGGGTTCAATCCCCAGTACCAGAAATAATAGTAATCATCATCATCATCATCTATGAGAAATAAGTACAAAGCAATACAAAAGGAAATGTTTACATTGAGGTACTAAGTTATGATGAATATGCACTAGTTATAGTCATAGATTAAATCAGTTCTGATGAATTATACCACCAACTAACAGGTATATTTTCCTGTGCAATGTACAAGTATATAAAGTATGTTCCTCAGTAACTTCACCTGAGAGAAACTTCTTTTATCCTAAATAGTCACTGTTGCTCAAGGGATGGCAAGTAGGTATAAGACCTTATTCACGAGGGAATTTGGGGTATGCATCCTCCTCAAATTGTTGTGTACACCACATCTCTAACAAGTGGATAGAAGAGCCATATGTTCTCGGGGGTTTTATTTTGTTTTGTTTTGTTTCAGGTTCTTTCCTTTCAAGTCTAAAAGTAGGTATACTGATTTGTGAGCTTTCTTAGATTCTGGGAAGTATTTTTTAAGTTCCCTGGTATGATTTTTTTTGTACATTGTAAAACCTTTATTCATGAATCTATGCAATGTATCTTGAAAAATTAATGTTATTTTTAGTTTTTTCCTGATAACCTACTATATTCCCTGCATTCTTGACTGGAATTATAGCAGATAGGCAACTTGTACAAAGAGAGGAAATTGTTAATTTTTTATGAATATTTATACCAAAAGATTTAATGGATTTTTGCAGTGTTGATTTAACTACATCTTTAAGGCCTGGGTATAATTCTGTCCCTGTCAGAATTGTGAAATGGAACTTTAATCATCATTGTACAGTTGAATGAGATATTAATTTTTTTCTGAATTAGAAATGAGAAAAATACTTTGCTAATTACATTTTTGTTTTACTGGGGCACTTCTTTTAAAGAGAGAATTAAGTAGTTACTTCATTATTTTGAGCAGGTTATTTGTCATTTTCCAAACATCAACCTGGTGAACTGTGGTGGGTCTCCATCAGCCACAAAAACTACAGGAGAAATAAACAGAACTTTTTTTTTTTTTCTTTTAGATAACTATGCTAAAAATCAACAGCAGAAGAAATACCAAGCAGAGGCCATCCCAGCATTAAGAGATATTTCTATTAGTGAAGTAAACCAAATGTTCTTTCTTGCAACCAAAGAACTTTACAACAAAAACTGAGTTGCATATAAAGATGCTAATATCAAGCATGTTTTTTGACAGAATAATTTTGACCATAATTATTTATTTTTTCTTATTATTGCTCAATATTGAAATGTAAAAAAATAAAAGTTATTCTTCTCTTAAGTAAATTTTAATTAATATTGTTTTCAAATATTTATTATTAATAGAATAAATAAAGTACTGCATTACTGTTTAGCAGATTAAAAAAAAAAAAAAAAAACACGTTGATATAATCCTTCAGAGAAGCATTGATGCTGTAATTTGCAAAGGTCAATTGTGTCTTTCCTCCTGTTTGTCCTGAGGGGCCCAGAATGCAAACTCCTGGATTTGAGTTAAGGGTACATTTAAAATTTGTGCCATCAGATGCATGTCTGTAACATAAATATGTATTGAGTGCTTGTTTGTGTCAGGTATTTTTCTGGACACTTGGGATAGAATAATGGTAAGATTCTGTCAAAAAGCTTAAATTTTAAAGAATTATATTTTTTAAAGAACTTATATTTGGGGGCTGGGGTTGTGGCTCAGCGGTAGAGCGCTCGCCTAGCATGTGCGAGGCCCTGGGTGTGATCCTCAATACCACATAAAGATAAATAAAATAAAAGTATTGTGTCCAACTACAACTAAAATTTTTTTTTATAAAGAACTTATATTTTGGAGGTAAGTTGAAGCAGACCAAGCAAATATGAAAAATATTTGTGATGAGTGCTGTGCAGAGAAAAGGTAGTATAATGTTCTGGAAAGTAAAGGGATGACTATTTTAGTTTGGGTTGTTAAGGAGGGCTTTTCAGAGGAAAGTAGTTGGGGCTGAGATTTGAATAGCAAAAAAAGCAACCAGGCATAAAAAGATTGGAGGGGCAGTATGAACTAAGTTTGAAGCAGGTGTTGCAATGACTATAATGCAAGAAGGAGCTTGATGTGTCCTAAGAACAGAGAGAAGGCCAGCATTGGGCCTGGAGCACACTGGACAAGGAGAGATGTTGTCCGAGGTACACCTAGTGAGACCAGGCCACATAGTGAAGGGCTTTGTTGGCCAGTGTAGGAAGCTTGGATTCAAGTCAAGTGTGGTGAGTTTGGGGCACTTTCAGTACCAAGCTGTTGGAGTCTTTAAGAAAAGAAGTGACGAGGCCTACTTTATGTATTTTTAAAGTTGCTCTGGTAGTTGGAGAATAACTCTGGAGAGGAACTGGGAATGGGGCAGGAATAGGGAAGCGAGGATATCATTAGGAAGCTGTTGCATTATTCCTGGCAAGAAACGATTGTTGCATCAACAAGAGTGGTAGTGAAGCTGGGAGGCAGGGATAGCTTTGCAACTTTCGTCAGAATTCAGCAGACTAAGTATATAGATCTGATTGTGCAGAGTAGTGAGGGCTGACTGAGAGAAATTGTGATCAAGGGTCATTCCTAGGTGTTTGTGGATTAAAGAACTGGGTAGATGGTATGCATTTTACTGAATTGTCAATATTTGGAGAAGTGCAGTTGAGGGAGGGGCTGGAGGATTTGGTAAATAAATTTATTTGGCACCACCTTATTAATATTTGGATGAGCTTGTATAAGATTAAAAAACAGAAGGTGTTTAAAAGTTAGAAAATACACTCAAAACCAGTGGGTCCAAATCTAAATTTATTTAACCCTCAAGACCCTCAAACTTTGACACCCTAAATCTCTATCCGGCTGGTCATTTTTTTCTTTAGGGTATCTACATACAAGAGTGAAGTCATACATTTTAGATATGCAAATTTAACTCTCTCTTTGAAGGAAAGAAGGGAGAGAAGGAGGAATTTTAATAGAAGTAGGGCTTCTGTTTCAGTGACCATAATAAGCATGCAGGGGATGATATGAATCTGCTGTTCCTGTTCCCTCGTTTTTCCCAGCTCTGTGTTTTGTGATGATAGTGTCATCACACTAGAGCATTTTAAGGGAACCAGCCGATTCTCAAGTACAGAAAGGTACATAAGTGAGCTTATACACCATGGAATGCTAAAAGCCATGCATGCAGGAACTAATTTTTGTTATACCTGATGACATGGATGACCATCACAGACATAATGGTGGGCCATAAGTCAGACAAAGAATATACAGTGTGTGCTTCCACTGGTGTAAAGTTTAAAAGCAGGAAAAATTAATCTGGTGGTAAATATTAGAATAGTGGTTACCTTTAAAGGAAGGTTAACTAGGAAAAGGCATTAAGGAATCCATTTTGTGAGCTGCAAATGCCCTACATCTTGATCTGGGTCGTGATTATGGGGTATAATATATTTTTAGAAAATCATGGAGTTTTATCTTTGTGCTCTTGATTTAAGTTACACCTCAATAAAAAGGTGGGAAAACAATGCCTATATCCATAAATTTTGATTTATTAGTCTGGAGTGGGACCCCAAGCAGAGATAATTTTTTAAATGTCTTCCAGATAATTCTATATGCAGCCAAGGTCAAGAATGGTTGGGGCTGTGGTTGTAGCACTCCCTAGCATGTGTGAGGCACTGGGTTCAATCCTCAGCATCACCTAAAAATAATAAGTAAAATAAAGGTATAGTGTCTATTTACAACTAAAAATAAGTAAACAATAAAAAGTGCCTTGCCTGATTAGACTGAACTGAGCCTGTGGTCAAGCAGGGAACTGGTACACTACTTTGGAAGAGAAAGCCAGCACTACTAGATTGGTCCCCTTCCCTTCTTATGAAGTTTTCCTTGTCCTCCCCTGGGGCCAGTGACAGGCCCAAGAGGGCTTTCAAATGGGTCAGAATGAAACTTTAAAATTGCACTGCATTTTAACCTCAAACTGACTTTTTATTCTGTTTCCCAACCACATGGTCTTCATAGCTCTAAAGGGTTATACCATACCAGGGTTTCCAAACTTTTGGGTACACTTAATCAGAAGATTATGATCAGTTTAGTGTAGCAATTCTCCATTTTTTTAAAAAAATAATATCAGGACCTCTTTTTACTCATGAAAAGTAAGAGCCTCAAAGAGCTTTTTGTGTATGGGTTATGAGCTCATCCCACAGGCTGTCTAGAAATTTTAATTTAGAAATTATTTTTTATACATAATAGTTTTGTCATAAAATTAATGTTGCTGATCATCTTTCCACATATAAAATGATTTCTGTTACATAAACATTTAACCCAAATCATTATTGTAGTAATAAACTGAATCCAGAAAGACAATGAGATTTAACATCAGTATATTTTTTGTGAAAATTAACTGTAGTTTCCAAAATGAAAAAAAAATTAGCAAGATGGGTAGAATTTTTTTGCAAATCTTTAGTCTGCCTTAATGAAAGACACCTGGGCTCTCATATCTGCTTCTGCATTCAAATCTATTACACACATTACAAAGCCTCTGGAAAACTCCACTGCATACTCATGAGAGAATGAGAATGAAAAAAAAAACAAGCAACATCTTAGTATTATTTTGTAAGTGGTTTTGACCTTGTAGGCTCCCTGAGATAGGATCTTCCTACCCTAGACTTTGAGAACCAAAGTGTGTGTGTGTATGAGAGAATTAGAGTAGAATATATCAGACTGCATTGCACTTGGTATGTGTAAATAATTTGATTTGACACCTCCCATGGACACTTCAAACCCTTTCTGGTTCCTCCTCCAGCTACTGATGCCCTGAGCAATTTTGTGTATGTTTTGACCAGATTCATGCAGTTCCCCCTTTTAGTCCACCCTGAAAGGGAGGGATTTACACTGTATAGGACCACCTAGAGCCTGACATGGGACAGGCATCTGTGGATACACATCCCCCTGTCATCTCCCAAGGAGACTGTTCTGAGCTCCTTTTCATGAGCTGCTTAAAATCTCTCAGCCTGAGCTGGGGTTGCCATGGCATCGGTGAGCTCATCCCACAGGCTGTCTCTGCTCTGTTTTTCTCCCTCTGCTACTCACTTTTCCTTCCTACAGTTGCTTTCCCATTGAACTGCCTACACACAGCCTTTCACAGCCTTTGCCTTCAGGGGAACCCCAGCTGTTTTTATTTTCTAAAGATTATGCATCAGATATAGGGCCAGGATGCATAATGCATTTCCATGCTGCATGTCATAATTTAAGAGAGAAGTTTGAAAGATACTGTTTTTCAATGAGCCTAAATAATAACAATAGTCTAAACAGAAAATGTCAGTAGTACAGAAATGTTCTGAATATTAACATAACCACCTCCAGTGATTAAACTCCTCCTAGGAAGAATTTAAAGTCTCTGTATGAAATCACCTAAATGTAAAGCGAGAAAACTAAACTCCAAAATCTTGCCCTCACTAGTTTCTTGATCTGCTCTATTTGGTCCAAAATGTCTTAATTGGATGCCTGTGTTTTCTCAAGAAACTGCCATGTATAGGGATCCTTAGAGTGGGTATCACTCTTTAAACAAATTGACCCAACCTAAATTTTTGGGGTGTTCCACTTTTTCAGTCAGTAGGACACAAAGAATGTCATATTAACAGCCCAAAACCCACAGAACTTAGGAGATCTAGATAAATCAATACCTATAGCAATTATCCCAGAAACCAGCATATTGTATGGTATAGATCCCCCAGCCAGTAACCTTTCCTTACCTTAGTTCAATGGTAAGGAAAGGTGGAAAAAGGAAGAGGAAAGAGATTCTTCTTCATTTGTCTCACCAGGACAAAGGTCAGTCTGTAGCAGTTATCACAGTTGTCAGGCACTCTGTTTAACTCAATCAGATTAACTGTAGTACCTACTTTGGAGGCAAGAGGAAATTTGCTTATCCCACCTTCTTTAATCAGGATAGGTTAAGTCAGGCAGTGGTAACATATAACCCTACAACTTCAGTTAACTTTTCAAAGAATAGCACTTAGAGATAGCCACTAAAGATGAATGGGGCCATGTAGACAAGGACAGTGGATGTCTCAATTGCCTGTATAGACTCATAACTGAAGACCAAGTGTCCTCTGCCCTATGCCTTGTTACCACGTGAGCCTCAAGAGTGCCAGAGATGCGATGGAAACCTCTGTTAACAAAGGAGTCTCAGAGTTGGAAATGATGGCCTTATAAAGAATAAAATCATGGTTCTTTAACAAATACATTTATAAACCAAGTTTTATATGTACTTGATACATGAGAAGTTATTGTTCAATAGTTCCACACCAGCCTTGGGCTATTTCTGCAA